ACGTCCAGAGCATGAAAAGGAAAGAACAAAGAGATGTTTGTAACTGTTGCAATGTCGCTGTTCCTTTTATTTCAGTGATGGGACCATCTTTGCTACTCTTCTTTTCAGGTAGTTAATGGGGGAGGGGCACTGATCTGTTTTCATGTCACCAGTCAGGAGTGACCTACTTTGAAGGGCATAACCTACAGCAGTTATGTGACAGCAGTGTTTTGCGTTCCGCTGTTAATTTTTCACTCAGTTATCACAGTGGTACTCATTTGTCAACCTCAGAATGAAGAAGGGCAAATGGCTCTGACCAGAGCTTGAATCCGGAACATTACGAGTACGACGTTCTACCGGCTGACAAACTTCAGTCTGAAGCAGCTTGTTGTAAATTTCTTGTTCAAGGGAATTCGTGGTAATGACAAAGCTTGTTGTCCAGGGAAATAGAACCTGCTACCTTCGGGGCTCGAGTTCTAAGCCGACTTCTTATGCGCTGTGCCACCATGCCACCACAGCATAATAGCGAGGAGCTCGGCAATGATTCGCACTAGTAATCTTTAGACTAGGGGTTCAACGTTTAACCGTGTGACGCATCACGGCATCGGTTGATATACTCGTGGTTAATTACTGAAACCGATTACGTATAGCTGCTCCAATCATCATGTGGAAAGAACAGATAGGTAATCCTGATATGCTCCGTTCCATTTGCTGATCCTTAACTACGTCCTTTAAACGAAGCTCAGTGCTTTGGATTCTGACGTTGTTACAAATCTTCAAAAGTTTTTTCGGTGGGGCCGTTTGTTCGATTCACGGATTGCTCAATTTTTTCGAAGTTGTTACGAATGGCACCTGTTTTAGCCCACCACACATTGATCAGGATCTTCTTCAAGTAGACATACTGCTTTGGCATGTGAGTTTGTTGTCAGTCAGTTTCGATGGCCGCTTGTTCTTTTCGGCCGATGAGGTCTCAGCGTCAAACCGTGGCTTCAGCTTCCCCGATTCTGTGCTAGATTTTAAGCTTCGGCAGAAGATTTCTTTAGCTGGAGCAGAATCTGTCTGTCTTGGCTTTCCCGGAGGTCTTAAACCGATCAGTTTGGCAAGTAGAAGCTGTTTCGCTTTCCTTTCTGGAAGAATTCGCAAACCGTGCCCAAACCATCGCATCTGGGACTTATGTAAAAGGTCAGTCTGTAAAGCTGTGTAGCATCGCCTGTTCATCTAGGGTGATTTTGGGATTTTGCACTCGTTTGTCAAGCTTCACGATGCTTATTTTATTCAGCCGTCACGAGGCAGTTACGATGCTTACATACAGCTTTGCAGCCACCATTTTTTTGGATAGGCTTCAGCTGAAGTTTTCAGCCGGTCTTCTTTACGGTTGGAAAGGCAACCAGCGTCTGCACAGCCTTTTGTTACCGAGGCTCACGTTTTCCGATTGAAAGTTTGTAGATCAACAATATACCTTGCGTTCGTTAAAATATTCTTTCCTTACGTTTGATTAATGTATGGTTGGCCTCGCTCGTTTTATGGCCATTTTGAACTCGTAGACCAAAATACCATAATGCAGTTTTTGTTCATGTTTCACTCGAAACTGTCTAACTGGAGCGCACTTCAGTTCTGGAAGTTATAAGTTTTACGTAAGAGTCGTCCAAACCTAGGCTACATAATTATTCATTCATTCATCTTCTATTGCCGCTTTACCATTCGGGTCGCGGAGGCAGAAGCGTCAGGCAGTGCTTCCAGCGCTGCCGATCCTGTGCCAGAGTCTGAGCTTCAGCAGAAGACAGCTGGATTCTGAAACAGACCTCTTCCATAATTTGCATTAGATTGATCTTGGTCGTCCACTGGGCCTTCTTCCGGTTGATTTGGCAAGAAACAGTTGCTTAGCCTTCCTTTCTGGAGGCATTCGCAACACATGCCCTAGCCATCGCAGTTGTGACTTCTCAATCTGGAGAAGCATACGTAATAATTCATAGCTAATATACTCTCTACATATGCCATGGACAAAATGAAGTGTAAAGTATCACACAAAAAATCAATAGGAAGTATACAATGACCTAATGCATCAAGCAACGTAATTCAATTCAGATCTTGTTTAGGAACCATTGGTAACAACCATCGTCCTAACCTATGTCTGTTATCAGCTGGGTCATGACGACAATATCTCATGCACGAATAATCATCAAAAGACACATTGGAGATCTATCCCTGTGTTTATGCCAGTTTTGCCCTTGAAAATATGTTTATTGTTGAACTATATATTACAGCATGATACATTTAGTTCGAAAAGAAATAAGCATCTTAAATCATATGAGACAAAACTGTAGATGATTCAATGTCTGGAACAAATGCATTTAATAATTGAAGCTTTCGAATCTCAAATCGAAATCGTTTTTTCAGCACATGTAAAGATACAATCGGCACAGATAACAAATATAAGTAGATAATTAAGTTATGTCATTATAGTGACGAAATACAATATATGCAAAAAGGAACAGAGAAAAAAATATAGGACGAAAAAGACTTTAAAAAAGGACAGCGGTAAAAGAAATTGGAAAATAAATTGAAAGATTAGATGGCGGGAGATAAATTATTAAAGATGATATTGCAACTTGATGAAAGATGTTGATAGCTTAATTTAGCTTTTACACCGGATGCAACAAATGCTTTAATGAAATCCTTATTTGCATTATTGTTTTGTGCTGAAAAATGAGAATGGTTGCTGTCTCCGAAAGCTTCACTTATGAAATATATGTTTCCATGCTTCAATCCGTCTCCATCATTTTTAACGATGTAGTTTTTTTCTCTTTGAATTGTTGCCATTTTGTTTATTCGAAACAACAATGTGTATGGCAAAACATGTTTAATGTAAACAACAGGATGTTTGCGGTGTGACAGGGGTTTAAACATTTCGGTGATAATTGAATGAATGGTTTTATTTGATGCCCTCCACAATGGATGAGCAGGAAAACAACGGTTCCCCAATGACGTCAGAATCGAAAACGCTAAATCATACTTATTTTACCTGTCTTCTTCATATGTTTTTTGTTACCTGCTTTGTGATTTATAGGTTTGCCTGGTTTGCAAGTTCTGTTCGTCAAGTTACCTCCGTTGAGTTTCACTGACAGTCTGTACGCGATCTCCCTGGCTTGCCAAACGGCGTCGATGGCGATTGGCATCATGTTATTTCCGTACCTCTTTAAGTTGCTCGACTGCCGCGACACGCTGATGATCGTCATCGGTATCGGGGCGTCTGCGACCAAGATGCTGCTTTTCGCCGTCAGCACCAACCGTGCAATGGTTTACACATGTAACGTCGCCTTCCGTTGAAAACTGTTTATTGCTTTAGTAGTTTTCTATTTTACTACTATAGTTCTCAAGTACTTTTGTACCCTAATCATGAGCATCTTTCGGGAAAACACGGTTACCGACTTTATGACCCCCTTTTCCTTGGTGCCTTGCGACCTACAGTGCAATGATGCCCTTGGCATTATTTTATTGCCTAGGCGAATGCCTGACTGGTTGCCAACGGTGTTTCGTCAGCTAGTCCCCTGTATAGAATTATTTGCGGCATAAAATGGTGGGCTCGTGATCCGGGTGTACTTTAAAATTTTCAAGCGTTTTAGTGCGATTGTGTGATAATCTTGTATTGATGATGGTGAACGAGTTACTTACCAAAGCGGGTTATTTGCCCCCCCCCCCACATGCCTAAAGAGCCATTCAGGCCACAGCCTCGTCGCGTTTTACAAAGCGTCTTT